TAATATTCAGCTAAATAATTACACGTTAAGAGTAACTAATCTCAAAACTTTTGTTGAGCTCTGAGCAAGTAAATGGTTCCGAAAGGAAAATGTGAAGAACAAGAACTATGGAATCTTAGATTAGCTATGAGTGAAATAGAAATCATTCATCATGCCAGGTGTGGTGGCACACGCTGGTAATCCCAGCATTCTTCTTTCTAGTTTTGCATCTACCATAAAACAAAATACAGAGACAGGGAAGGGGAAGTCAGAATATAAGCAAGATTTTGTACAGATACAACATGTACTTTTGAATAAACACATTTTTTCTGTTTTTGTTCAGATACTTACCCAGGAGGCAGAGGTTCAGGTCTGTCCCATGTTGTTTCTTTTTCAACATGATCTACATAATAAACTCGTCCATGCTGGTCCACTCTCTGCTCCCAACTTCAACACAAAATTTAATTTAAAAAAGACTAGTAAAGTCATTTGTGTGGTTTGGCTTTTTAATCTTATCTTTGCTTTTTCACTTTAAATGACCATACTACAGAACTGAGAAATAGGAGCATGGCAGTGATAACGAACACCAAATAGAACTAAAATAAGGTCAAGAAATGTCCTCCTCTGAAGGTTACATGCAGAGAATGAGATTCTTGCTGCACAAGTATCTGCACTAGGAGACAACATGTATATTCAAAGAGGCTGGAGGAAACTGTTAGTTGCAGCTGAATGGTAAGTGAGTGCCTAAGATGCACAAGGCCCTGGGTTTGATCCTTAGCACTGACACAGAAATAAATAAAATTTTAGAAATCAAAATAAAGTTTGTATGCTTTAAAAAGGGGATGGGTGCTTGAAGTCAGCCCACCCAATCAGAACAGGTTTATACTCAGACTTAAGTGGAAAAGAATGCTACCATTAATATTATTAAACCTGAACAAAGACTCAACTGACTGAAAGGCAACAGTCTGATTGGATTCTAGAAAATTAAAATCAAGGAACAAACCTTTAGCAGACATGCCCTTTGCACAATACAGGATGGAAATTGGCAGACTGGCCAACTGGAGTACTTTTAATATTCTTGGAAGGTTTATTCTTCCCCAAGGAGAAGACAGAAGTAAACCATCGAAACTTGGAAGTACCACCAGACACTGGTGGTTCATACCTTGTTAATCCTAGCTACTTGGGAGGATGAGATCGAGAGGATCATGTTTTGCAGCCAATCTGAGCAAAGAGTTCAAGAGACCCCCATCTCCAAAACAAACAGCAGGTGTGGCTCAAGTGGTAGAGTACCTGCTTTATAAATGCGAAGCCCTGAGTTCAAATCCCAGTCTCACCAAAAAAACCCCAAAAAACTTGGAAGTACCAATGATACTTCCAAGGATACTCAGTTTGTTTTTAAGCATTAACAGCCTTTGAATTTAGCTTTTTACAGCCATTTAAAAAAATTAAAAATTAAAAATAAAACAAAAAATCATTTCAAATGAAAAACTTAACTTTCCATAAGGAAAATAGCCTAGCAATCAAAGTATTATCTGTGTAGCAATTAAATTCTCATTATGAGTTTAGTAATTTATCAGGCAAGCAAATTATTTATTTATTAGCATTCTGAGATGTGGATTAATTCGAATGTTATACTATAAATACATAAAATTATAATTAAGACTAATTTTTAAAATAAGTAGAAAACAAAATTATCTGTTAGTTTATATAATGACTGTGATGAAACAATTTTGATTTTAAAAGGTTTTACTTTACTCCCTAAAAGAAAAAGCGATCTCAATTAGTGACTATTACCTGACATTGGTCAATGATCTATGGGTCAGGGTTCTTCAAATAAAAAAAAAATTCTTAAGCTGAGTGTGATGAACATTCCTGTAATCCAGAAGTCAGAAGCTGAGGCAGGAGGTTTCTGAGTTTGAGGTCACCCTAGGCTGTCTCAAAAAATAGAAAAGTAGGGAGTATGGCTCAAGTGGTAGAGTGCCTGTCTAGCAAGCCTAAGGCCCTGGGTATATACCCCAGCACCACAAAAATAAAAAGAAAAAACAAAATTCTTCTATTTTGCATTGGAAATATTTCAAATGTGGTGAAATTTCTTTTAACTCCAGATTTCCAAAAGTCCAATTACAACTGCTTCAAGACAGTTTAATGAAAGAATGCAGTATTGTTTTATTAATGAGGACATGCAGAAACCTAAAGAAAACAAATGTTAGCCAAAAAAAGAGTACTTACCCAGGTGGTAGGGGAGCTTGAGTTACAGGATTTAATGGCCTAGGCCCTGAGCCTCCAGATATAGTAAGAGGAATTATTAATCCAGATGTTGCTCCTTCAGATATATTTGTAGTTGTACTTGTTGGTGGTAGAGAGCCTGTACTAGATCCATCACTTTCGGAAGTGGCAGATGGTGAACCATTGACCGATGCTATAAAAGATGTGCAGAGCATAAAAAAAAGAATCTTTTACTTTCTGAAATCTAAAATCAGGATAGAATTTTATTGAAAAAATAAAAAGGTAATAAAAAAACTTAAAATGCAGGTAAAAATTAAAGCGAGGTAGTCAATGTTCCCACTTAATAGGCTTGTTCACAACTTTTTAGTTTCTGTCTACCCTATGTCTCATTATGATTACAGATTCTAATTTTATGATGCCACAGGGAAATAAAAATGATTTTACAGATACACTGACTTCTGCAGTGCTGGTGATCACTGGGGCATGACTGGGTAAGCACTCTTCATGGAGCTACACTCTTAAACCAATAAAAAACATTTTGAATAGGACACCATTAGTATTCCTGGTTATTTTTTAAGTGCATTTAGTAATTTTCCACATCCTTTAACCAGTCTTCTCTGTGAAATCCTGAAGATTAAAGACCAATTTTTGATGTTTATAGTATGGAGGAACTGGCTAAAAAGCAGTAATATTCTTACAGTCACTGAGCACTTATTACATCTAAGAAATACTTGTTGACAAAACAAATCTGCAGGAAGTCTTAATAGTATACAAAGAGGTATACAGTCTAGAAGACTTTGACTATATCATTAACAATTACCTACAGAGAAGGGAAAAGTGTACTATTAAAAGTGTACTATTAAACACAAACCCATTTAATAAATGATTTGTGGACAACCAATTTACCTTTCTAATATCAGATGATTTAATTACTTTGCAGTCCCTACCTACATACTAGCAGAATAAAAAAACAACATTAAAGATTTGTTCTGGCTAATCAGAAAAATGGGTATTTATACATCTCATAAACATAGGATATTCTACCTATGTTTACATTTTTACTACATGAAATATGTTTATTTGAGGTATAATTTCTGCTTTAAAATCTAGTTCTCATGCACCACTGTCAGCTTTTAGAAGGATATAATGGGAATAAGCAACCAAATTCTTGATTGTAAGAAATGCTTTTATGTCACAATTACAAACCATGCAAAAAAACCCCAAAAAACTGCACTCTTATCTGTACTGTCTATACTTTATACAATACACATGTGCTTTTCATTCTTAATAGAGCACTGCTTTAGTAATTCTACCCCTGGAAGAAAACTTTGAGAAAAGGCACTTCTTGTTTAACTACAGAATGGAATATTCTTGGCAAAAATCTTGAATGTGAAAATGAGGCCACAAAGTGACCTTAAAAGGTCTCCTAAAACCTACATGAGGATAGATTCCCAACATAGAACATTATTTACAAAACAATACTGAAGGCTGGGATACATACCTGGTCTACGTGGGGTGGGTGGAGGTGGCCGTGAAGGTCTTGGAGGTCTAGAGGGCTTAAAACCACCATTTGAGAGCGATGGAGAATTGTTCCCATTGACCTTCCTATTTTCACCAGATCCTGTATCCTCAGGATCATCTGATCCATTTGTGCTCACTCTGGGTAAGAAGGAGGTTGGAAAGGGAAGGAAGAGGAAAGAGAACAAACTGTACTTTTAGTTGAAGGAAAATAAAATCACAATAGCAGGGAGGCCAAAATTAATGTTTTAGGAGATGAAAAAATTTTCTTGGGTAGAGGTATGGCTCAACTGGTAGAGTTTCTGCCTAGCAAGTATGAAGCCCTTAGTTCAAACCAGTACTGCAAAACAAAACAGAAAACCAGAGAGAGAAAGCTTCCTAATTTCAGGCCAGTCTTATCAAATACATACAGTTCTTGGGTAAAGACTTACATAACCTCCCACAGCTCATCTAGACATAGAGTGAGGGGTTACCCAAGGGTACAGAAACACTTGAAATCAATTAAAAAAAAAAAAAAAAAGAATTCAAATCTTCAGAAGTCCTATTTAAGCAAAATCAAGTTCTCAAAATGTCTTATCACAAAAACATAGGTAAGTTTATCAACGTTATTTGTTTGTTTCTATTGGCTATTAATATTAATTCAAGTTTGAGGCTGGCTGTCTTACACCAGGAGAAAGAGGGTACCCACAGATCTTTTCAAAAAGGAGCTGCCATTCCTTCAAAGTAAGATCAACAAAATGGAAGCAGGAAGGACACTAAAAGGAAAAAATGTCAGGTTGAAAGCTGTTATTACTGTCATGGTTAGAAATCAGACACGAATAGCCAGTTTCTAGATTATATTTTCCTGCAATTTCTGTATTACAATGTTTTTGTTTATTTTTAATAAAAAGTATGTGTAACCTTTTTTTTGGGAGACAGTTTTGCTATGTAGCCCAGACTGGCCTCAAACGTGCAATTTTCCTGCCTGAGCCTCCGGAGTGCTGAGATTATAGGTGTGCCTAACTAATTTGATATTTTTATATTTACACTAAGGGATAAAATTATGTTCCCTAAAAGTCCGTTAAGGCCTATAAACTCAAAGTGTGGTCTTTCAACTAAAAGTACAGGTGCTACATAGAGCTTGTGAAAAACATACAATCTTGGGCTGGTGAAGTGGCTCAAGTAGCAGAGTATCTGCCTAGCAAGTGTGAGGCCCTGTACTGCAAAAAAAAAAAAAAAGTAAAATCTGGGAACCCATTCCAGACCTACTATATCAGAACTAGCGTTCTAATAAAATCCCCAGATGATATATATGGAAAGCACTGCTTTGGAGTTTCTTAAAATTCTTATTTTGATTAAAGGAAATAGATCAGTAAACTGGTGGTCAACACCTGAAGGCCAAGCTACCCAGAAAATGTACACAATAATGTAGGGAGAATCAGCTTTGACACTACTTCCCTTTCCTTAAGTGAGGTCCCAAACCCATTTTGAGTCACACACCCCTCTGAGTCTCACGATATTGCCTTTCCACATTATTTAAGAGATTACTAATTAGTCTGAAAGCAGGGTTCTTTTTTTTTTTTTAACAGACATCAGGTAAAATGGACCAAAAGTGGAAAACTGAGGTATCTAACTCTGACTCTACTACTAACAAGTTATGTGACGAAAGAAAAGTTACTTAACCTCTCTGTATCTATCTCAAAATTATCTTTACTATGTGACTCCTAAAAAAAAAAAAATGTAAGCCACAAAATTCAGACTAAAATTGCACACCCAGCGCTACAGAAGTTGTCAGGATATATGAAGAAGAAATGTTCATGGCATGAGGCAAATCTGTTATGATAAGGGTAAAACAGAAAATGTATTTTAAAAATGCTATGTTTTGCTGTTGGAGATAAAAATTAGGAGATTTTTGGGGCTGGGTGCATGGCCCAACTGGTGGGACGCTGGCCTAGCAATCCTGAGGCCCTGAATGCAAGCCAGGGAACCACAAAAAAAAAAAAAAAAAAAAAAGGGTATGGGGCCCACAACATTTTAATATCCATCCATCCTGTCATGCTTGTAACAACATCTCAGTCTCTGTTTCTCAATGTACTTATTTATCTGACAACCTAGGAACAGGAAGTTATAGTTAGAGGGATTTTAGTATTCAACATCTAGGAAAAAGAGCAATTTCCTTGCCACTTAGAATTTTTCCTCTTCCTAGATCTTGAGTAACTAAAATCCCTCTAACTCCCTATTTCCCCTATGTGCCTCCCATTGGTATTTTTATTCATCTCATGACCTTCAATCTTCCCCTGCCTTTACAGTCCCTCAGTTCCCTTCGTTAAACTTCATCATAGAACTTATCAACTTTAATTCCTTCAACCCTGCCTAGCTATCTCCCCTCCCCTCCCAATCCTTTCACTACAACTACTTCTTCATCTACATTTTCCACTACTGTTCTGTACAATCAACAAGTAATGCTGAAGAATGTTCCAATTGAGAAGTCTAGTGTATTTTAGTGGCTAAAGTGAATAGTATATCGAAGAGGGAAGACTGTTCTACAAAAGGTTCTGATAGATTCTCCACTGTATCCAGTAAGAAACAGTTTTAAGATTTTCACTTTCAATGACTCGCAAGGTAAGTCTTTCTCTCTAATCCTTGTTGAAAAGAACAAATCATAGCTCAAGTCTCCTGGGAAAACTAGGGAATTCGAATAGATTATACAAACCTAGTAGTAACACCACAGGCTCAATGGGATCCATCTACTGATTCGCTAGGAAAAAGGCGCTCTTGGGCTACAGGAGTGGCAGCGTGCCTGTCTAGCAAGTGTGAGGTCCTGAGTTCAAACCCCAGTACCACCCCCAAAGAAAAAAAATTATTAAGCCAGGCACTGGTAGCTCACATCTGCAATCCTAACTACTTAAAATGAAGAGACAAGGAGGAATGAGGTTCAAACCCAGACCCAGGTGAATAGTTTGAGAGACCCTATCTTGAAAATCCCAACACAAGACAGAGCTGGTGGAGTGGCTCAAGTGGTAAAGCACCTGCTTAGCAAGAGTGAGGCCCAGAGCTCAAACAAACCCAGCACCACAAAAAAAACAACAGAAAAAAAACAAAACAAAGTTCTTACTATATAATTATACAGAACCAGCAAAAAAGGGAAAAAATTAAAATTGTGCTTCTTCAGATTTATCTTTCGGTAAGGAATTACTTAACTTCCTAAGGCCTGATTATATCAAAGACATTAAGGCAACATGGGATACATCTGACATTATTCAACACCTTCACTTGGATTATAACAATGCTTGGAAACCAATCCCTTCACATCTTTAATTCACTCCTGACCACATCCCAATGCCCACTGAAAACCTTTTCTATCTCCTCAAATACCTAATCCCCATCTATAGATGGTCCTGATTCATTCTTTCAAAAAATGATGATCTACTATCCCTCAACTTCCTTAGCATTTTTCTGTGCTACTATTTCCATCTGTTTCTCAGGTGGAGGAGGGGGGAGGACAAAACTCATCATTTCTTCCATGCTGATTTTCTATCTGTGCCCTTGATCAAAGCCTTTTTGCTCTTAGAATTTCTATCATTGCATATTCTTCTTATATTTTCATTATATCCTTCTAGAGCCTTCCTTTTGGTTCATAAATAAAATCAAATTCTCAACCTAAAATGCCTTCTCAGTCTTAAGTGCTCCTCAAGCTCTTTTCTGATGTTCCTTTTCTTCTTTATACTTTGTGCATTTGTGAAATCCATACAATTACTGAATTTCAGTTTTTATTTCCCCACTGTTAAGAGATTAAACTGAGGACAAGTATTCTATCACTGAGTTACACCCCCCCTGCCCTGTATTTACATCTTTAAAAAGATTTTCAAAGAGAAAATACAACTTGTAAAATAAAAATTAACTGTAATCCCACATTGCAGATAAAGTTAAAATTAAGAAAAGGGTATATCTCTTGCCAGCCTTTTATACTGGAAATGACTATGATCAAAGAATGAATAATGGTTTCATACCTTGGGTGGGTTTCTGTTTAATTCTGTTATACATACTGGGCATTTCTCTCAAATTTCGAAAACACTGTGAATGACGCTGACTATCCTAACATTTTCTTTTCATTGGGCTTTTTCTGTATATTTTAAAGGTTAAAATGCTGACTGCTAAATTATATAAAAAATATTTTTAAAGATCATAATTGACCTATTCTTCCATTTCATCATAACATGTTAAAACCTTTGCAAATTTGGTAAATAAAAATGCTAAGCCATTTGAGTTCCTTCTTCCATAAATTGTATGTATGTCTTTATACATTTTTCTATTTTAAGAGAACAATTTTTGCTCACTTCAGCAGCACATACAATAAAATTTGAATACAGAGAAGATTAGCATGGCCCCTGTGCAAGGATGGCATGCAAATTGTGAAATAAAGAGGGCGAGAGAGAGACTTGTTTTCCTTATTCATAAGAGCTCTTAACAATCTGAGGATACTCACCTATCATATTGGTTTAAATAGTTCCTTTGCGTTCCCCCACAAACACACACACATATACCCCGCCCGTAGTATAGGTGACAGGTGCTTGAACTCTCTTTTATGTTGTTTTTGGCCATACTGAAGTTTAAACTTTTGATTTTTATTTTGTCTTTGAGACAGGGCCTTCCTACCTTAGCCCAGGCTGGCTTTAAACTCAAGCTGGATCCTCCTGCCCCTGACTAAATAGCTGGGATTACATGCATGCATCACCATGTCTGCCTAGTTCCTTTCCTTTTAGTTATATTTTTAAATACATAAGAGTTTTATATTTTCATATAATTAAATTTATTCAGCAATGAATTAACTGTATTTTCTTCTAAGACCTTATAGATTCATTTTTTAAAACATCAATTTAAAAGCCAACTTGGAATCTACTCTGGTCTTGGGATAAACTAGCCTGACTTTTTTTTTCCAAATTGCCAGTTTTCACAAGCTTATTAATCTAAGACCACAATATCTTCTGTAGCATTTGACAATATTAAATGTTCAATCTTTTCTTCTTTTTTAAAGACAGGGCCCTGCTACTACGTAACCCAAGCTGGCCTTGAAATGGAGATCTCCCTGCCTCCACCCGAATGTGCTAGGATTACAGATGTGTGCCGTCACACCTGGTATTACCTCATCTTTTAAAAACATT